CGCAGTTTATTACTGGTTTTAAAAGATCTAAATTGAATAGAAATCGATGCATCTAGAGGAAACCCTCAAATAACAGCAACAACCATTTACAATGCCGTTTAAAAACCAAGCTAGGAATCCAACATGACTCCTTGTTAGATTCATCACTGTGGGACAAAATACTAACATGCTTATTAGCAATGGAATTTTCAAAATCATTTTAAAGTCAAGTATATCATTTTAAAATTCTTTAAAAAACTGCAGAGGTGGTTGGATTTTTGGCCTTAGTCTTACGTTCATTTGTTTAACATGGACACGGAACTATAAAAAACAAAGTTTACACTTACTTGTTTTTAAAGCAAATGACGTAGACATGCATTGTGGGTCATTGCAGCCTGTTACGGCTATGATCTTGACTGTACTACCGTCATCCAGTGTCAGGGTGATGGATGTTCCAGACATAGCTCTCTGTATCAGAGAGTTGATGGCCTCATCCAAACTTAATCGGTTGTTAGATTGAGAAGAAACAAATATTTTTATTAAGACGGATTTTGTCTGGGAATCGTGGGTGTCTGGGCCCGAGGAAGCAAATATTATGTCTTGTGACCATCCGAGTTCACGAGACAATTCTTTTGCAATATTTTCTATTTTTTCCTCTGTAATAAGAGTGTTCGTAAATTCAATTTCAAGCATAACTAATTTTGCGGTTTGTTGAGGATATGAACCAGTCATACAAGATAAGATAACTTTCCATCCCGAAGATACTGTCTTTTTGAATTCAGACAATAAAGCACCCTTTATTGTCCAAAATACTCTCATCTGATCATTAAGACTCAAATCACAAAAGCGGACATCTGGTGCCGGATTCTGATAACAGTCAATATGAGACAGAAAGGCCTCTGCCTTCAGATTTTCACAAGAAACAGTTTTTTGAGGAAACAGTGCGAAGACCAACCTTTCTTGCAAACATTTCCTCACCGCATCCACCCATGCTTTTCCCTGTAAAGAAAAACCGGCATAATTGTGTTCATAGCGTTCACAATACTTCTCTGCATATTCTAAAGCATATTTATGATTCGTCGATTGGCATGGAATTCGGGTTTCCAAACACTCCCTATACCATGAACAGCTTTTACCCGATGGTATATAACAATGAAGGGGTACTATTGACTTGACTGATGTTGAACTATCTGTGTCACATTGACAAGTACTGATACCTCCTCTGTTTGGAGTTAAGGAACAGTAATACCAACAAAAATCTGCAGATGGATCCCGGCAGGCAACATGCACACGGCGGGCTAAAGAGTGGATGGTAGATTTTTTAAGACACACTACAGGCTCTTCTTTTGTTTCATGGAAATAAATGGACGAAACGCACTGTGTTATTCCCTCAGTGCCTCTTCTGCTATCACACTGAGAATAAACAGCTGTAAAAAGCAGAGGAAACACAAAAACTGATCGGAACATTGGTGATAAACTTCTTATTTTAAGTCAAATTTGCTACGCAATTTTACTGTTTTTTTCTTCTTGGTCATGTAACGAAGTGTTTGTAACCCTTCATTGCTCATATTGTATTCAAATATGTCGACTTTTAAATACACTTGTAAATAAAACATTTAAATCAGTTCGTTATGCTTTGAATAGGAACTTTAAATTGAACTGTTATGTGACATTAGTACCCTGATAAGAGAGATAACTCATAATTAAGGTCTTCCGTCTTCACGGAAGACCTTATAGTTAAGGTCTTCCGTCTTCACGGAAGACCTTTTAGTTATTCTACTGTTTCTTATTATTATTATTATTATTCTTTTTATTATTTTTTTCCCAAAATTTTGTGCACGCGATTTCTCGAAGACTACTGGATGGAATTACATGAAATTTTCAGAAACGATGTATCGTAACATGAGCTTGATCTATCTGAGCGATTTTTTGAAAATTCTTATCTGGTGCCAAGTTACGGGACATTTCCTGATTTTAAAATGACATTTTGTCTGTGGTTAATCTCAAGAACGGTAAAAGATATCAATGTGAAACTTTCAGGGATTATAGATCGTGATAGATACTATCCAGGACGCGACCTTTTGTTCGTCGTCAATACTTCCTGTCGTTAGGAGATGCGAATTGAAAAAAGCGTATTTTCTAACTTTTTTGTTTTCCAATATTTTTTATTTATTTTTGGAATATTAATAGAGACCTTTCTATTGATGCTCACTATATAAGTTGTTTGATTATTGGTTAATCTGAACTCTAGATATTAATATTTGAAAATCTGAAGCGGGCCCAAGATGGCGGCTGCCTCTGTCAACTCCGCCATTTCGCGAGTAGGGGTTTATGGAGGCAGCTGAGCGTTTGATTAAACGATTGTGACATAAGGATACATGAAATGTAAAAAACTACTTCGACTCTCACGTAGTAGTGAAATGGTTGGAGGAGTTACCTCCCGTTACTTGTTTATATTATAATAGCTAATCAATGTAAATATTGTAATTAATTGGTCAATTGACAAAAGAATTATACAAGTATTATTGATAAATGATATTCTGTTAGAAAATAATAATAGTGTTGCCAAAAGAAAGGCAGTCTGTTGTATTTTATCAATATGATATCTGATAACTTATGATCATTGATTAAGTTGAGGTACAAGGAGGCAGTACAGCCAACTGGCCTGTGTCTTCACTTTGGTACAGAATCCAGTTAGTGTAACGATTAAATCGGATTGTGCAAAGTTGCTGTAGTTAGTGACTAGTTAAAATATAGTTGCGTGACATTAGCTATAGGTTTGTCATTAGGACAGAGAAGCTCTTACAAAGTTAAATCATACTGTGTAAGTATATTGTAGCCAAGTAGTCAGTGGCTAGTTAAAATGTAGCTGTGTGATGTTAGCTATAGGTTTGTCATTAGGACAGAGAAGCTCTTACAAAGTTAAATCATACTGTGTAAGTATATTGTAGCCACTTGGCTAGAGTTATATAGGCAACTTGGTAAGCAGTAAGACACCAGGCAGGTGTTAAAGGCTAAATCAAGAGGCACCAGGCAGATAGATGTTGACTATACGAGTATAGTGAGGCAATTATCAGATGGCACAAGGCAGGTGCCGGTATTAACTGAAGATATATAATTATACAAAGCACTTAGGTCATTTGATTTAAAAACACCAGGCAGGTGTCATATTATTATCTGTATATATTGCATTCAATCATATCCCTAGTAAAACTCGGTAATCCGAGCACGGACCTACTGACCGCTCAGATCCGACACGTTACAGTAGTATGTTGCAATTGAGTGTCAATCTTAAAACTTAATTTCCGTTTCACTGCTTTAGTGTAACTGGGCTAGATATGATATGTAATGTGTGTAATGTGTTACATATACTTTCTTAACGTCGAAATAAAATAAAGGCGCTAAGAATGTTTTGTTTTTTAAAATTTAATATTTACTTGTGGCGTTTGGCGCGAAATTATGAATGATTTTTATAATTCTTAGACAGACTGTTGCAAAAGTACCGTGGTATACACAAGTATATTTAGAGCAGTACTCCCAATAGCTTAATGGTTAGCGCGTTGGGGATATAAAAGTTAAAAAAAAGCGCATTCACGTTGGCGACATGGTTTCAATCCTCCTTGTGACCAAAATTTTGAATCTCTTTTCAGCTCGATTTTACGTGGGTTTCTTTTCCTAAAACGGACGGAAGACCTCTCGTTGCTCGCAACGAGATCGTATCTAGTTATTGCTCTGTTTCTTCTTCTTATTATTATTATTATTTTTCTGACACGATTTCTCGACAACTACTGGATAGAATCAGATGAAATTTTCAGGAAAGATGTGTTGTAAGATACTCTTGAAAGTTCTAAGACAGTTTTTGGAAATTCCTCTCTGGTGCCAAGTTATGGACCATTTTCCTGATTTTAAAACGACATTTTGTCCACAATTAAACTCAAAAACGGTAAAAGATATCAATGTGAAACTTTCAGAGTTTATAGATGATGATCAATACTTTCCAGGACGCAACTTTTTGTTCGTCGTCAGTACTTCCTGTCGCTACCGGAAGCCAATTCAAAAAGTCCAAATTTTCAACTTTCTTTGTTTTTCAATATTTTTTATTTATTTTTGGAATATTAATAAAGACACTTCTATTGATGTTTACTATATAAGTTGTTTTAATATTGGTTAATCTGAACTCTAGATATTAATATTTGAAAATCTGAAGCTGGCCCAAGATGGCGGCTGTCTCTGTCAACTCCGCCATTTCGCGAGTAGGGGCTTATGGAGGCAGCTGAGCGTTTGATCAAACCATTCTGACATAAGGATACATGAAATGTATAAAACTACCTGGACTCTCACGTAGTAGTACGTTGCAATTCAGTTTCAATCTTAGAACTTAATTTCCGTTTCACTGCTTTAGTGTAACTGAGCTACACATGTAGATACGATATGTAATGTGTACTATGTGTTAAATATACTTTCTTATTACCGAAATGAAATAAAGGCAATAAGAACGTTTTATTTATTTAATTTCATTGAAGCTATTACACCTATTTTATAGATCAGTTCAAAGAAAAGGCGTTTGGCGCGAAATTATGAATAGTGACGTGGCCCGCCTTTTATGATTCTTAGACAGGTGTACTGTTGCAAAAGTATACACAAGTATATTTAGAGCAGTATTCCCATAAGCTTAATGGTTTGCGCGTTGGGATAAAAGAGAGAAAAAAGTGCATTCACGTTGGCGACCTGGGTTCAATCCTCCTTGTGACCAAAATTTTGAATCTTTTATCAGCTCGATTTTACGAGGGTTTTATTTCCCGAATCGGACGGAAGACCTCTCGTTGCTCGCAACGAGATCATATCTAGTTTTTATTATTACTAGATTTGAAAACTTGAAATGACATTTTTGTTTGATTTTGCCCTGCAAGCTTTGATAAAATTATTTGTATGAGTTGTATTACCACATTCAAAACATTATTTTTTTAACATAGCTTTAGCTGTCATGTAGTATTAAATTGAAGGAATTTAGTTTGATTAATTATTGTTGTTCGAGAATTTTTCACTCGTATACAGACGCTACCATATACAGGTGAAAGGTTTTGAATTTAGACCTTTAGACCCTTTTTATCATTAATATTGTATTTGATCTAGGAAACGCATTTCTTGTGGAAAATCATAAGAATCAAGCATAGAGTTTACGGACCTTAAGATGATTTTTTGCAAGTGCTATCTCTGTAATTATTTACTACAACACTTCAATTCTGAGATCAAGGAAGGCTGATTTCCAGTGGAAGGATTAATTGTACTTACTACCATCAAGAGCCGTACCTGGAAAAAAAAATTCATGAAAAATAAAAGCTTAATTCATGTTTTTTTAGTTTATTGTTCATTTTTTTATTCGAAGCTTCTGAAATATGTCAAATAAAGAGTGCAATTGTAATATTTTTAAATATTGTTTCAAATAAAAAAAGGAAGACATTTTCTTCAAAGTTTTCAAAATAATACGTTTGACAAAACATATCATAGTTAACTGACAATGAGTCAGCCATACTACGACCCGATAAAAGGTTATATAACGTGCTCAATAAGTATCTTTTTCATATCAAGGAAAGTATACACCAATCTTAGATAAAATTATGCTTGTTACATTAGCTATAGATAGATAGGGTCAAATTCAAACTATATTTTTTAATTGAAAATTAGAAAGTAATTTACAAACTCGGATATTCTTTGCTAATAAGTTTCTTTTAATGGACACAGTTCCATTGTTTACCGGTACTTTTTAAATTTGTATGTTTATTTAAAAAAATTCCGTTTAAGGAATTGAACTTATTTAAAAGTTCATTTGAGTTTTTAGAATCCACTAGAATGGGCTGTAGAACAAAACGTCTGCAGTTTCTACTTAACAAAACTAGGTGTTCTGTATCAGTCAACACACAAAGTTAGCATTAAGTGTGATGTGTACATATCTAAGGTATAGGTGGGCTAGCTTCAAGAAAGGTGTGATAGCTTAGAGGAAGAATCCCTTCCGCTCACATTCACTCGTATGTGAAGATTACTAGTCGTGCGACTAAACATAGAATAATCATCTATTAAAAAGTGGTTATCTATAAAAACAAAGACTAACACTATAATAATGAAACATAGAGATAATGAACAGGACCCAAGATAAAGGCCCATTAAACATTACAAAATAGGAACAGAGCAAACACGGACCTCCGAAACATCAGAGGTGGGATCAAGTACAATGGAGGAGCGAGCATCCCCTGCCAACCTTGTCATGATCGGGAAATAATTGAAAAATCCGTCGTCAATTCCGTGAATTAATAAATAATGGACTAAAAAATATAAAAAACGTCAGTCAGCATTTGACTCAATGATAAATTGTATTTGCTGACAAGGCCATTGTATCAACCATATAGAACTTACGAAATGATGTCTTTAAAAGATGTATGCAGGTAATGAAGGTATATTGCTGCATAAATAAGGGAAGTTGACGATAGAAAAGTTGAAGGCTGTAGTGTTTTGGCTTATTTCATGTGTTCAAAGAAATATAA